TGTTTGTGTATATATACACACATATATAAAGATTAGCTGTTATTATTATTATGGGAATAAGCCGCTAGGGAGTTAGGGAAAGAAATAAGTTTGCTTGTTAGGATGGGTCTAGATTGAAAAGGCCTTCAGCAGTAGATGGGAGGCAGAGGACTTTAGACTCAATAAAACAGCATGAAGAAGCCATTGAAAATCGTTGATTAGGAAAATAGCAAGATACATGTTATTTGGAAAGATGGACAGCCCACATTTTGGCAGTTATTTTACCTAGCGCTTTATCTTTTTCAAAGCAATTTGGGATAGGAAATGGCCTTTTCAGCAAAGATGGAACAAAGAAGTTAACTGTTTTCTCCTCAAAGATGCTATGGCCAAACCCTGTAAGTGATACCCAAGATGGAAGCTCTCCTGATTGTTTTGAGTGTCTTAAACGTGGCTGAAATCTTTCATTACTGACTTTGGACTTTCATATCAGAAGCTCCTTTAAATGTGAGATAAATAAAATAATGGGACCATGAAGCATTTCTACTCTAGCACTATTACTATCACTCACTTGGAACTGACCTTTGTTTCCAAGGGTGCCTTATTTCTCTGTTAGATTATGATTCCTTATACAAACAGTATCTTTTATATTGTAGGAGGTCAATTAATAATTGTTATTAACTTATTCACTTAAAACTACTCTTGTGTAATTATAAAATTGTCACAATATGCATATGAATAATTGAAATACTCTGAGGTTATTATCTGCCTTATCTTTTTATTATCCCTAATCATATTCAATATTTTCAATCACCTCATTATTTTGATAGCTGTGCTTTATCCTACCTTTTTAATCATTTCAGCTACTAAATTTGCATGTGTTTTACTGTCCCGATGATCTCTTTTATTAGATTTTTGTGTCAAGTTCTAATGGTCCTTACTTAATACCCACTGATCCCTTCTTTCTTACTGACTTATTTTGTTGGGGGAGGCAATATGCCTATGACAAACTGTATTTCCCAGGTTCCTCTGCAGGTAAGAGTAGCCATGTCCTAAGTGCTGGCCCCTGGGATGGAGTAGAGGTTATTGAGCAAGCAAGTTCCTGCCTGGAATCTGGAAGGACAGACTGGAGGAAGCGGATCCTGCTCACAGAGCGGACGGTGAGCTAAAGAGCTAGCAAGTGTGAGCAAGAGTGGCTACGTAATCACAGGGCCCAGTGCAAAATGAAAATGCAGGGCTCCTTGTTCAACATTATTAATAATTAAAAATACCAACAGCAGAGCTTTCACCCAGCACTGGGTCCACAGGTCACAGCCCCATGAAGCCAGTTCTGAGCGTCAGGGCTCCTGGGCCCCACGAGGTCACGAGCCTGTGCCTCAGCCCTGGACTGCAGACTGTTCTTCCTTTACGAGAGCACAAACCTTATGTTTAAGCCTCAGTTGTCTGGGTTTTCTGTTATGTGCATTCCACCCTGATGCATGTCATTAGTATCCTCGTTTCGTACTTGGAGAAACTGGGGTGTGGACAGGTTTTCTTGGGAGCAGATTTTGGAGTATTCGGACTCAGGTTCTAGGAATTCAGGTACATACTTTATCTGTGGCAACGCGTTGCCTTTCTTTTCTCACAGAGATGTTAACCTTCCGCATTTCCTTTTTTTTGGTCAAGATTTTACGGTCTGCAGGTTTGCTTGTCTCACAATGCCCTCCTCTTTGTAGCCTATAATAGGAAGGTGGCGCTTCGTCCCACTTCGTTTTTTTCTCATTTGCATTTAATTTGTGCTCTGGAGTGAACAAAATGCAGTCTCGGTCCACATTTCAAATATTGCTAGAAAGTGATTCACTTCCATCTCTAGCAAAATGTTTATACTTTTGATCCCTCAGTAATTCTCCCTTTGTAGATGAAGAGTTAAGATGACAAAATTCAATAAAAAAGGAACTTGAAGTATGTGCGGCCCCGTCTGACGTGGGTTTCTGTGTGCCTGGCCCCACGGGAGGAGAGCATGTACTGGCGGTTCTTCCAGTGTGATCGCCATCAGGAAAATCCATCTATAAGTGTCTTCTTTTCATCGTGCGTTAGGATAAACAGAGTTAATAGCTCTCTGGACATTCTGTCTATGTCATGAAACCACTTTGGCCGTTAACTAGTCATTTTATTAGCGCTACGAGCCATAGCTGCTATTCAGGCTGCCAAGGGACCCCGGCGTAACACAGGTGTTGCACTTGCTGGGTTTGAGTTTTGACGCCATTGCGGTTTTGCTCAGCTCCTGCAGAAGTACCCCACCTTGGCTAACTCGCACAAGTCGACATTTCTAGGTCAAGTTTTAATTTCTTTCAGTCCTGGGTAGTGCCAGGGTGTGGGTGGGGGCACAGTGTGTCATCGCAGATAATCACACTGTATCATGTGTCCACCCGCCTCTGCCCCTCTTTATTGGGGGAGAGAAAATTTCCCAGGGGAGCAGACCTGGGTGAGGTTTTAGGCTCCTACTTAGGCCTTGACTTCTGAGCTGGTGCTGCCACACACCTTGCATCGGGGTGTCAGGCGCATACATGATTGCCCTGCTTGTCATGGTATGCGGGCCCTTGGGAGGTCGGTGGAGCACAGAACTCCGGTGTTCCTGGATCTTTGACTAAAGTATCATTTTAATATCATCCAAATCCCACATAAGCCGTAGCCCTCTGGTTATGCCGAAATATTACAAACTGTTGGCATAACCAAGGCATCATTAAGTACTATTTTTCAAAAGTTGGTGTTTTGAGTTGAATTGTGTCCCCCCTTCCAAATGCATATGTTGAAGTGCTAACCCCCAGAACCTCAGAATGTGACCGTATTTGGGGACAGGGCCTTTGATGAGGAAATTAAGCTAAAACGAGGTCAGTGAGCGTGGCCCCTCATCCAGTCTGATTGGTGTTCTAATAAAAGGGGAGAGAAGACGCACATAGAGGGACGACGAGGTGAAGAGAACAGGGAGACGGCCACTGCGCCCGGAGCGATTCTCCCTCTCAGCCTCAGAAGGAACCAGCCCTGCCGGCACCTTGGTCTTGGACTTTTAGCCTCCAGAACCGTGAGACTTAAATTTCTGTTCTCGAAGCCCCCCGGTCTGCAATACTGTTTACGGCGGCCCTTGCAAGCTAACACACTTGGGAACCAGGCTGGGAAACTATCTGAAGAGGCCGGTGGACTGCGCGGTAGAAGTGGGGCCACCACACCGTGCACTGTTGCAAACAGCCGTGTCCCTTTTCTTCCACTGCTCAGAGACAGCAACGACAGTGACATTCGCTTGACGGCGAGGAGCTCTGAAGTGTTTGTCGGCAAACTGTGCTGGTCACATGCAGGGAGGACTTCCAGTCTCACTCCTGCTTTTTAAAAAGAAGGAAATTTGGGTAGAGTTTTCATGACCTGAGTAGGGTCCCATGGAGGTCAGGTCAGAGGCAAAGTGAGAATACATTTGAAGCTTCCTAGTTTATCGTCTTTGTGGTCTGTTGATGGGAATTCTCTGATTCTCAGTAAGAGTTCCTAAGAACAATGCTGAAAGATTTTTTTTCTCCCAATACTTTAGCACAGTGCATGGCACATGATAGGTATTAGAATTGTGACTGTTACTATTAGTGTCCAACTCTGGAAAGGGATTGCTTTTCTTAAATTAGCTGTCAGAAGGGAAGGGTCTGCCTCTTGAAATTTATATATCGTTGGTGCTTAGTAAAGTTTTTGTTTTTTTTTTTTGAGACAGGGTCTCACTGTGTTGTCCAGACTGGAGTGCAGTGGCACAATTGCAGCCCACTGCAACCTCCACCTCCTGGGCTCAAGCCACCCTCCTGCCTCAGACTCCTGAGTAACTAGGACTACAGGTATGCACCACCATGCCTGGTTAATGCTTTTTATTTTTGTAGAGATAGAGTCTTGCTATGTTGTCCAGGCTGGTCTTGAACTCCTGGCCTCAAGCGACCCTCCCACCTCGGCCTCTCAAAGTGCTGGGATTATAGATGTGAGACACTATGCCCAGCCAGTATTTTTAATATTAAGCCTGAGCAAGCTGCCTTGAGAACTCTGGTTTATAATATTAACTTTGTACAACATTACTAATAAATCATCTCTGGAAAGAATAAGTCTTCAACATCTGGTAGCTAGTCAACACAAAAATATTTCTAAAACAAATCAAAAGCATGCACAGTGTTTTATTAAAAAAGTTGATAAAATAAGGAAAATTGAAGTGCAATATCTCTAAGATACTGGATAAGTATCTTAATCATTAAGCAGTAAAGTTCTAATATATTACAAACATTTTATCACTATGTTTGCTAATAAGTAAACTGAGCATCATAAAAAATGAGATATGTAAAAGTACTGAAAAATTTAAGTCACTAGAAAGGAGAAGTATTACATGTCTTATATTACCCTGTGTTTGCATACTAATTTTTTTGGCTTCTGAATGACTGCATGATGAAAAAATGGCATAAAGTGGGTACTTTTTTTGGTTTTGCAAACTTCCAGAGAATAGGTACCATCTCTTCCTAAACACGAGATCCCCAGTCTTGCCTGTTAGTCTGGAATAGTGACTATATATTCAATAAATCCTTTTTGAACCAGCCAATGTGTGAACGATGTTCTTGGTGGATTTCTATTAAATTGAGAGAAAGAAGGTAACATGTCAGTAAAGAATGAGCATTTTTACTTTCAAATAAGGAAGGCAATTTATTGTAGTGAATTTACATTGAAGTTTGACATATGACCCCCAATGTATATAAAATCATTTACCTCCACACTATTGGGTAAGACCCACTGAACTACAAAGAAACTCAAAGTGCTATAAATGAGTTTATACAGATGTAATGCATTTTCACTAATCTACCCAATTTAATCAGATGATTGAAAGGACATGCTTAAGTATTTTTCATAATTTTCACTAATTAGTTATCACAAGGCTGCTCAGTGGAGTAAACGTACACCAGAGATTTAAACATTTCTCCCTAAATGGAGCTTGTGGAAAATGCAAAAATTGGCACGACATTTGAGGCAACATTAAAAAAGCAAAGATAATTTTTAAACACTAACCAATAGAAAAGTACCCCAGGAGGCAGAGCACAGCAGTGAACTTTACTGCAAAAAAAAAAAACAAACAAAAAAACAAAGTATGCAGGGATTTATGCAGACATTCTTTGCACCTGACACCGGGTCTATAATACATTTTACACATTTGTTACATATTGCACAGATATTGCACAGATCCAGGTACACACAGACACTACCTGATGCGCCATCACCATGGTGTAGCTGTCCTCACTGAGGAGGGCTCTACAGCACTTTCTAAAGGAGCTTATTCATGACCTTTCAAAAAGGAATCTAAAAGCAGTTCTTTATACAGTCGTATCTTTACAGAGACACCATGAGCTATGGCATGGCGCATGACTTCCCTTCCTAAATATAGGATTCTTTCGCATATTGCAGTTGGTCAGCCTCAAAGATGGGCTGGCTACAGCGTCGCATTAGATAGTCCCTCTTATTCTTCTGCACAGTCTCTGATGCCGTCCTCAGACGGTGCAGCTCAGGTCTCCCTGGGACAGCCAAGTGCCCCAGAGTTTCCACAGAAGCACTGACAGTCCTGCTCTGTGCCCAACGCTGGGTCAGGGGAGACAGTCTGTGCCCAGCAAGTGGCTCTCCACTGCGTCTGTCTCTTGAGTCCTCTCCGTGGGGAGACGGGAGAAGAGGTGGCAGGATGGGGTCCTGGCTGAGCAATCTCGCCCTCATACTGCCCACGGTCTGGCTGCCGTAGGCGGCAGGTTCCCACGCCTGGCACCGGATGGCCTCGTCATAAGAGGGCGGGCTCCCAGGGCCCCCTGGCTCGGCCAGCTGGAACACGTCGTCCACCCAGAGCGCGCAGGACCTCGAGCTGCAGCCCAGAGCGGCGGGGCTGTGGGTTTCAGACCCGTCTTCCTGGACAATGCGGCCAGCCAGCTGGCTTTCTTTTTTAGAGCCCTTTGTGACTTGGTCTCTGGTAAAGACTTGGGGTTTCCCAGAGCTGGGGGTTTTGGTCAGCACTTTTTTGTGGGAGGCAAAGGAGAATGACATGGAGTGTTTTTTAATTTCTCTGTTGGGTTTGCTTTTTTCAGTCTTCGTGGAGAAAGACTGATGCCTGGTGAAGAAATTTCTTTTGGGGCTGGAGGGAGAAGCCACGGGCGAGCTGTCGGAGCACCCGTCCAGGGAGCCACTGGAGAGGGCTTTGGGGACCAGCCCCCGTGGTAACGCCAAGCCCTGGGTCAAGTTCTTGATCTTCAGGTCCACTGGCCTCTTGGTTTTGCCTTGCCCTGCAGAGAAGACCTCCTCTGGAAATGGGTCTTCAGCGTCCTCACTCTCCAGGCGACAGCCTTCGCGGGGCGTGGGGAGGTCGTCCTCACTCTTTGTTAGGCTTCGGTTTGTTGTCTGGTTCTCGAGGCACTCTTGCGAGGACAGCATGCTGGGCTCCGAGTGCCTCCTGTCCGGCTGGCTGAGACGACCTTTCAGCCTGGCCACCGTGCTTGCAATGGGCTCCGGCCTCGACTCACAGGCGTCCCGCGGCCCCCTGTCATCCAGGCTGGCGGCCAGGCCAGTGGGCCCCAGGGGCTGCCCGCCGGGAGAGTTGATGGTGCTGTTGCTATTGGATTCCACATCGGGGTCGTTGCTGTCATAGGCTGAGTCATTCTGCAGCGTTGACGTGTCTGGGGGAAGTTAAGGAACAGATGAACTTTTTGTTCAGGTTCTTATAGAAATAAACTTTACTACGGTTCACCCTACGCGTCCCAATTATGGCCTAGCTAGGTAATCTGGTGGAACTACTTCGGGGCTTGATATGACAAGAAATTTACCACATTAAAAAATTTTTTTTCCAAATTTATTTTGTGATGAGAAGAAAGATGGGGAAAGGGAATGAGTGAAGGAGGCAGAGAAAGAGGGAGGTAGGGAGGGAGGAAGAGAGAAAAGAGAAGACAGTATTTCACTGAAAATTTATTAACCTTAAATTTTAAAATTGGTCCTTTGATGGCTCTTTTATTGGGCCCATTTCCATTTTAATGGACTCATATTCCATTATGCGGAAACAAAACTTTCTTACCTCAACTCTATAGCTAAAGGTTACTTCGTAAAATTGTGATTTTTGAATTTATTTAGTGTTATTGGTGATTTAGAATAGAAAGGGGGAAAGTTCCAGACTGAAGCTGAAAGAGTACCTGCAGTTTGAGGAGGTATTGCAAGAAAACTCAAGAGCAAGGTTCTCATATCTAGCGACCTCCTTGCAGAATTGAGTCTAGTCTGGCTTGGTGATTCGTAAAGGTAACTTCTGCTTCGAAAGTGCTTTTTACATTACAGTCATGGATGGGCAGACTGGCACGAGCTTTTCCCCACAATCACAATCGACTGAAGCACATTCTGTACCTGAGCTGTCAGTGTGTTCTAGGGAGTCATCAGAGGTGATACTGGAATGCACCGGAATGTTCTCCCCAAATATTTCAAAGCAGTTATCGATGAGGAATTCCACCAATGTCTTAACCTGTGGGGAAAAATAAGGAGGTTGTTAGCTTAAAGACTTTGTTTTTAGGGAACAGGGAAAGGATGGGGACAAAGTGGGGGGCACTATTAGGGAGGTGCCAAAGTGAGAATTAGATTTTTATGTGTTTGAAAAGAACATACAGAAATTTGGTAACAACCAGGTACATTAAAGTTAGATATTATTTGGTGTTTTTGAGACATGCATTTTTTAAGAACTTAAAAAACTTTTACTTGAATTTTTCACTTGAGTAAGTAGTTTGGCAAATTGATAGTTGGCCTGATAGAGTGTGATGCACAAAAGAAAAAAAATAGGGATTTTCTATACTAGGTGATAGTGACAGTAAAATCTGTAGCAATTATCTTCTGTCTCATAAGATGACAGATGGACATAGATTTGTTCAGTTTCATCGAATGCATAAGAGAGTGGAACTATGACAAAAGCATTCTGCATTTTATATTTTTGTTGTGATTTTGAGTCAGCTGGAAAATTCAGGAAGTTTTCTCTGCTTGGCTTTTGCAAACAGATGGTGAGATCATAAGCTGGGAATTTCTCATAAGTAAGCAGAACAAACCTTATTGTTCAAGTCTTTCTGGGCTTCAAATGACAAGTTTTGGTCATTCTCCAGGGTGAGCATGTTGGGTCCGATGCAGATGGCCAGGTTGCTGGAGTCCATCTTGCTGACCTCGGAGTTCTTGCTGATCAGGTACAGAACGTACACCAGGTGCTTCAACAGCAGCAGATTGGGCCGCGGGAGCTTATCTGCAACCCTGGACAAAAGTTGAGGGACGTTAGTTTTAAAAAAGGCTAATGTTCTATCTGGCTTTGGTGTGGCAAGTTGAAAGTTTCTGCCTAAACCAGACTTCCTTTAAAATGAGGAAGGTGCATTTTCACAAGTAATATTGTGAAATGTCCATTCAGACACTTCCAGTGGCAACTGACACAGAATGAGACTGGTTAACCACAAGGTCTTGGGGAGTTAAGAAACCAGCTTTTGTAATTGGGATATCAGTAACAAAGCCCTTAATTATTTATACAGATCTTAAATTATGAAGCCAAGCCTTCATTAAACACCATAGTTTGCCTTTGCATTTTGAAAATCATTTTGTTGAGTAATCATTTAGTCATGTGGTGTTTCTTTCTGTTTCTAACACTGCTAGACTGGTTTTCTTGCCTTTTTTTTGAACTGAAACCGCCAAATGAAAATGACACATTTTTATGCCATTCTGAGAAATTTTTATGGAGAATAAATCAGTTTATACGGGCATGTTCATAATAAGGCAATGCTTAAACAGTAACATTGTTACAAACAATAATAGACTTTTTAAAGTCTCTCTTTTTCAACCAATGAAATGATGACTCCAGTACATAGACCTTTTCATTTCTCAGGAGAAAGTATTGTTATGGAAGTGTTTTATGTCCGGGGAGAATCTTACTGTGATAATCTTTTCATTTTGGGACAGACACTCTAATGTCTTCAACTCTACGAATGTCTCATTGAAAATATTTAGCCATGTGGGACCATTATAATACAAAGACAGACTTTCATAGGATGTGGCAAAAGTGCTGGCATTTTAAGTTAGGCATCTAGAATTCTCTAGTTGCTAACGGGTCACACTTTCCATTATATATGTAATTATTTTTACTCTCACTGGAATTTGTTTTTATATGGTTTTCATTTTGGTTAATTCTAAGAATATGAAATATGCTATGGGATTTTATGCACAAAACAATGCCTTCCAGATTGCTCTACTACCGTAAGGGATGTTTCGTGGGAGAATCGTTGCCTTGCACGACACCAGTCAATGTTGGTTAAAGATAACCCCAGGTTCCTCCCCTTGGCCTGTGTTACAGCTTTCAGGTATAACTTTATCTCATATTTTTTCGAACGTCTCATATTTTTAGACTCCCTAACCTCTTGGGATTTGTGAGTATTGAAGTTTACTTTCTGCTTGTTGAAGAAATAGTTCATTTGGCTAACGCTGCTTCTTTCACAAGTCTGGGTACCCCCCGGTTTTCATGCTGGCTGCGGATGAGCAATTCCGCTCAGATTCCCTAAATGTGACAGATTTCATGCAACGGGAATCAGGAAGCACTTCAGCAGAGAATCAAAAGGCAGAGGCCACGCAGGCCTTGCCTCCTGGTGTCGCTTTGGGGACTTACTGTTTCAGGGCCTCGATTCTCTCCTCCTCGTCCTGCATCTCCAGGGCACCCATCCACTCCTCAAAGAGGTCACTTGAAAGAAGCTTCATGGGGATGCTCCTGAGGAAGTCCTGGCAGATGAGAGGCAGATGGTTGGTCCATCGTACTATACAGTGTGCTGTGTCCTCACTTCCTCCTTACCTCTGTTCCACCTTGGGATTCTACGCTTATCCCCTCACTGCCTGCACCCCTGCATCTGACGGATCTGGGGAAGCCTCTCTTCAACGCTCGTTGACTCCCAGGAACTTCCTAACAGCAGGCGGAGTAAGAGGCGCCACCCCCAGCTGGGTGCATTCTGAAGGGCCACTGGACTTAGTGAACGGACTCTGCTTCAGGACAATCAAATTACCTTTTCTCCTCAACATTTTGGGGGAACTTAATGCATCACTTTTTGGTAGAATCTGGGGTCACAGAAACAGAGGTTCTTACATATATAAATAAAGGGATTAACTAAAAAAATTAAACTCCCAGATCAGTGTACTTTGCCTTGCAGGGAGAAGAACCCGTGTCTTGTTTCCCGAGAAAGAGAGTGTCAGAGCCAGGCAGGTTGTGTGGCACCGGTGCGGTGAGCTCACCTTGAAGACCACGGCCAGCAGGTGCACGGGGCGCCGCTCCAGATCCACGGCGCCTCCGCAGTTGAGCTCCTCCTTCAGCTCCTTGCGGGCCTTCTCGTTGGCCGCTTTCCTGAATATCCCTTCCGTGGAGGGGCCTTTGAGGCACAGAATAGTGAGAATATCCTGCAGGAAACAGGTGTAGGAACAAGCAACCGTTACCCTTTTTTTGAAGACACACTTTGCTGCTACTAATACACAAAAATCTGTGTTTAGGTTGCAGAAAGAGAATTAAAATAATGTACATGAATAATCTCTAACTTTACTTGTCATAAAATACACTCTCCCTAAAAGTTAGTTCTCTTCTCTGCTGCACCTCAAGGAGAGTATTGATGTCAGATTTTGCTTTCAGCCCAATTGCTGTCAACTGTCTCCCTCGACCCTGCTGTTTCTCTAGAGGAGAAATATTGTCAAAGCTCTAATTTTACACATTCTGGAATGATTTGGACCTCCCCCCTTTCTAATACTTGCACATAAACCTTGGATTTCTGATCATATACTCTATACTGCATCTCTGCCTGCTGACTCTTCAGAAGCTACAAACTGTCAGCATTCTCAATACCTCCAAGTCAGAGGAATGGAGGACCTTCCCTCTGAGCTCACTGGCAAACACAACCAAGTTCTGGAGTGTAAGCGGGTACTCTGACTGCACTTGTGCGCGGGAACGTCATCTCCAAGAGCGGAAGATACGAAAGATCAGCCCCTGAAAGTTTGGTAGAGAACGCCGTGCAGATTTCCTACGGATTTTCACATCCAACAGGAAACTGAAGTAGGTTTACGAGCAAATGTGCGCCTACCTGAATGGGCCTGGGGAGTGTGTCGTTTTCACCGCAGATAATCGACAAGGGCTGATCAAACAGTGACGCTTTCAATTCTGGCTCCAAAGCCCCAGAGAAATCTGACGAAGGGGAGAGCCTTCTCAAGAGAAAGGGCCAGGACAGCACCTTCTTCCTCTTCTTAACTTCTACAGCCAAGAAAACAAGGCAAAGAGGAAAATTGATACAATATTCACAAGCAAAGATCCAGGTGAGAAAATGGGTATTGTCGGCCACATAATGTCATCCATGGTGTGCTATGTGGGGGAGACAATTTTGAAAGCCAAAGGGCATGAATCTCAATCTAGAAAAACCCACTGAAAAAACAACTGCACTGTTACCAGGGCAACCACCCCTAAACATCAACACCAAGGTTCCTCAAAGTCTCCACCTTTCCTGTTTTCACCCTTTATCAGCTATTTGCTGCAGAAAGTTAGCAAAACCTAACTGTGCAGGTCATAAACAACCATCTTAACCTATTGGCCTTAATAACCATAGAGGACATTTCTGATATGAAATAGATTATTTTAATTTCCTCCTTCAACTGGTGAAGAAAACGAAACATAAGGAGAGGAAGTGACTTGCTTAAGATCCTTTTGAGGGCACTTAGCAGGGCTGGCCATTAACCCTCTGCAGCCACCAGAGGGAGCGACACAGTCCGGTGTGTCTGCAGCACCTGGGTTTCCCAGGCTGCTGCTTTAGGACAGGGCAAACACATTGCTGCAGAGGGCCGGAACCTAGACCTGGAGATTGGGAATTATCAGTAAAACGCCACCAAAATACTCTATTCTTCCGAAATCCAGAAGGTGTGTGTGCAATGAGTATTGCCTCTTAAAAGTTTCCTTTTTTCTTTTCTTTTCCTTCCTTCCTTTCTTTCCCCCAATTATAAAGGCTATATTTTCTAAATACATTGGCATATGTTCCTATACATTTTATACTGGCAAGTGGAAGGACAATGAGAGAGAAGTGGCTTGTCCTTACAGTTCAGGAGAACTGGGTCAGGGTTGTGTTATAATGAAGTACACTATGAAAAAAATTAAGAGCGAGTGGTGAGTTCTTCGGGATTTGAGATCAGCAACACTTGCATCATGGGCTTTTGGATACACTCTCCTTTAGAGAAGAAAGAAAACAGAAAAGGCACTGTGTGTTTTTCAAACATATACATGCTTTAATTGTCAAAATATCAATGGCCAGGAGATTTAACTCCACTAAAAACCCTCGGCAGAGCTGCGGTACTGGCTGTGGAGAGGGTCTCCCCTCTGAGCGCTTGCTGCTCTAGTGAGGTGGAGCGTGCCTGCCATTTAGGGGTTAATGTTCTGCGGTCTTTAACAGAACACTTGTACAAAAAAATTCCTAGTAGAGTAGAAGCTCTGTGGTTTTGCAAACCAAGAACACTGCTTGTTAGCACTTACATAAAAGATCAGTATGTTTTCAAACTCACCAATGAACTGGCAAATACTATCTTCACTCTCACATGATGCCAACAGGGGATGTTCCTTGATATCACCCTGAAAATATATTTATTTTATTTTAAAATAATGACGGAAGAAAACTACCCAGTCTTTTCCCACAAAATACACATATAACGCTTCATGCATATTAAAAATTAAGTCGATAGAGTGCACCGATTTTTTCCCAGCTTCTAGAATCAATATTAAAGTTATAATTGTCATCATATAGATCCAAATTAATGTGTTTAATTTAGTATATTTATGATAATTTTCTACTCTGATAATGAAACAATCCAAATATCATCACATTAAAACAGAAAGTTTTTGATATTCTCACAGTGCAGATAAAACATTTTAAAATTGTTTTCTTACCTCTGATTGACATTCGATTAGTGTCTCCATATCACCGGCATTTAGTGTTTTTGACTAAAAGAGAAAAAATAAAATGAAGTAAACATCTTTTGGCTCTTGCCTCTAGGAAATATGAATTAATAAATATAAGAGGGGCACGTACAGCATTGCGGTTGCTTATTAACTTCATCAGCGTCGGGGCTGGCTGTCCAGGGATGAATCCCACTCCCGTGCGGCTCTGGCTCTGTCTACAATGAACCATGTGGGAAAGAGTGAAGAGCTACACACATCATATGTTGGCCACTTTCAGTCCCACTTCGCCAAAACACAGAGTTTGAAACTATTAGATAGAAAAGTTTTCATTTAAAGTCAGTTCTATGTTACCAGGTGTCTTATGCAATTAAGAACAGCATCTGAACCCATTTATTTCTAAATTATTGAAGCCGGATATCTTTACCATTCCAAAATTTGTTGCTAATTTATTACATTCCCCTCAAGAATCTGAATATCAATTACAACAACAACTAACATTTTTTTCGGCATGTGACAGTTACTGTATTAAGTGCTTTGCATGGATTTTTTCATCTAACCCAAAAAGGAAAAAACATATTCCCAGGATGCTACTTATAGTAAACTTAAAACAGAGATGACATTTATTGAATTCGTACACCAAAGGAGTGCAGGCTTCACATTGAAGCAAAGCTTTCTGCGTTCTGAGACTTTACGACACTAGGGCATATTCCATGGTGTAGCTGTTTTCTGTTGCCTCTGACTTGAATGACCCAGGACTTGCCAGGCGGCTTATAATTTCTAATTGAGTTAATTATAGTACTTACCCTCGGAGAGTCTCCAGCCAGAGTTCTTCTACCTCCGGGGAACTGTGGAAAATGGGAGAAACAGCATGACACTCCACTCCTACTCGTCCACCGGGAGATAGAAAGAGACTGAGCTGCTCTAATTTCACGTGCTGAGCGTTATAAGCTGGAGGGGTGGGCAGGTGGAAATTCAGAATGTTACCGAGACCGGAAAGAACATCATGGGCTGTCACACAGACAGCCAGCCATCGCTGGAGAGCTCTCACTTCCTCCTTCCTTTTAGGGCAGCTGTGGGTCTTTTTTTATTTTTTCTCTTCCACTTCAAAGTAAAAAAATCTATAAACTACTAGGAGTGGAAAAGATGACATCCAGCCCATAGGTGAAGGCGCTGATTAATGTCACAGGTGGGATGTGTGAGTGAGTTGTGTTATTCTCTGGGTAAACATTGTTTTATTTTCTAAGCTGGTAATCTCAGGTGCTTTTTTTCTGTTTTTGCTATCCTATTGGGGTGCTTTTCCCCTCCCGCTCACATCTGCTCTGTCCACCAGTACCAGACATTGATTAGCACCGCGGCAGGCGGGACACTGTTGTGGAACCAAAAAAGAACCCCAGACATGGTCCCTCCTTTGAGACATAACCACCGTCAGAAGCCAGTTAGTTTCCTTTGGAAGTAGGAAGAAAGCTCACTGGAGCCAACTGTCAACATGTCAACCCCCTCTCCTTTCTGAAACCTCAACACGCAGAGATGGACTATATTAATATATTTAAAATTTTTTATTTTATATTTTATACATTAGGATTTTGAAGTCATCTTCCTTTCAATATAGAATTCCATTGCAAAAAAAGAAAAAAAAACCCACACAGGCTTTAAACCATCGGTACAGTTATGTATCGAGTGGTATAGTACAAACCTAAGGATTAGAAAAAGTGTGGCTTTCTCTTTTTTTTGAGACAAAGTCTTGCTCTGTCGCCCAGCTATAGTGCCGTGGCATCAGTTTAGCTCACAGCAACCTCAAACTCCTGGGCTCAAGCGATCCTCCTGCCTCAGCCTCCCAAGTAGGTGGGACTACAGGCACGTGCCACTGCGCCCAGCTAATTTTTTCTATTTTTTATTCAGGCTGGTCTCAAACTCCTGGGCTCAAGCGATCCTCCTGCCTCAGCCTCCCAAGTAGGTGGGACTACAGGCACGTGCCACCACAGCTGGCTCATTTTTTAAAAATTTTTTTTATTTTTTTAATTTACTTTTTTCTTTTTTAGAGATAGTGTGATGACACTTAACTGTTCACTTCGTTGAGAAAGA